ACTACTCACATTATCAAGGAACTATGAGAGTAAAGCATCCAAGGAAGCTATATAAGGGGTCTGGCCAGCACCTCACTATCAGATCCCACAACGGTTCAACACCTGACGCGCGCCGACCCAACTTGGATAGGTCCTTTGCACAACTCACCCACAAACTATTCTACCCAAAAAAATTTAAAAATTATTATTTGTCCAGTGTATTATTAAATTCTTCCCAAATTTTATTAATTATAAATGGATCTAATTTATATAAACCAAAGGAAATATTCATATTATTGTCAAAACTGCTTTTTATGAAACAAGATTCAATTATATTCCTGTCGACCATGGACTTGCTTGATACTACTTTCTCAACTTTTTGAAAATCAATTGGATGGTTAAAATCTCTTACATGAATAAATAGAGCATTGGAATCTTGTCCAGTTCTAATGCTTTATTTATGTTGTTTTAATCTTAGTTCGAAATTTTTTCCAGTTTGACCGTAATAAACTTTATCGCAAATTTTACAAGGAATCTTATAGACACATCCTTCAGCATTTTGGGGGGAATTTTTTATCAAAAGTTTTTTTTACTGTATCAAGATTTTTGAATACAACTTTAATATTAAAAGTCTTAAGAAGAGAAGGCATATGAACCAAATTTTCATGGTAAGGGAGAACCAACATATTTTTAGTTGAATAAGGCTGGTTGTCCCTTTTTGGATTGCAAAAAGTATTTCTAGCAACTTTAAAAGATTTATCAATTACATTTCTTGGGTATTTTAAATCATTACCTATTTCATAAATTTTGTATATTTCCTCAAATATGAACTCAGGACTACAAATTCGTAAAGCTCTCAAAATCATTGATGAGAAAACAGACAGTTTTACTCTATCTTGATGCGAGGAATAATAGTGGACATAGCAACAGTTATTTGTAGGTTTTCTGTAAATTTTAAATTTGAATTCATTATTACCCTTAATAATTAAAACATCTAGAAAAGGCAATGAGTTATTTTCTTCAAACTCAACAGTAAAGTTTATAGAATGGGCTAAGCTATTTAATTTTCCAAGGAAATGGTGTATATCTACATTTTTGGGCATAAGACACAAATATCATCAACATATCTGAACCATTTAGCTCTATTAGGGAGGATTGTGTTAAGCAACCTTGTTTCAAAAAATTCCATGTATAGGTTACTAAGAACAGGTGAAAGAGGATTTCTGCCCAAGTCTCTTTTACCCAATAGACTCCTTGACATGAGAGATCGTCCTTTTGATGATTTTATGAGAATTATTCTTCAGAAACATATTGAAATAACTAATATACAGGAGAAGGAAGCATTCAAAATATTGAGAAACAAAAAATACTCTTTTAATCAGGCCATTCCATCAGAATGGAAACACAGTTTGTTGGATCATTGCTATAATAAACTCAGAAGAATTTGTAATGAACTCAAGAGCAAACTACAAAGAAAATTAGACATTTTAATTGAAAATAGTGATTGGACAAAGCATGCTAATAACAATTTTGTAATTAACTTATCAGATGAAATTTTAGACAAACATACAACTGCTGCTCTAGGTTTTGGCCTAAGTTTTGCAACTTCAAAAAAACTTAATAATGTTGAAATTGCAAAAGCCTTTTGTAACTTTGAAAAATTTTCTGATTTATCCTCTGATGAAATTAATATTAGTAAAGGAATGGTATTTAGCTCTATGTTAAAACCAAACATTCCCAATTGCCCTCAATGATTCTTTAAGTCTTAAGATACACTTAATAACAATAAAAATTTGCGCCTTACTAAAGCAGACAAAATAAATGCAATAGTAATTATGAAAGAAAATGATTACCAAGAAAAAATGAATAATCTCTTAGATGATACTAAAAACCTATTCTAAACTTAGGAAAAATCCCCTAGAAACCGTTAACAGCAATTTCAATAAAACAATAAAACTTCTACTGAAAGGCAAACAATTTACTTCCACTAATCCATCTTTACCTTACATGTATGGAGTAATAAAAACACACAAACCAGGGAATCCAGTCAGACCAATTATTAGCTCCATAGGGTCAGTTTCATATAAATTATCCAAATGGCTTGTTGATATTTTGAGCCCTATTGTTGGCAAAATTTCTAACTTTAATGTTAAAAACAACATAGACTTGGTTGATAAATTAAGCTCCTTGACTGACTTAAATGATTTTAACATGGTTAGTTTTGATGTTACTTCCTTGTTTACGAAAGTTCCTGTTGATGATTTATTAAGTTTCTTATCTGAAGAACTCGTTAACTATGATTTGCCATTGCCAATTCCTACTATCATTGAACTTATTAAACTTTGCATTGTTGATGCAAAATTTGTATTTAATGATAAGTTTTACACTCAGAAGTTTGGTATGGCAATGGGAAATCCTCTTTCACCTGTTCTTAGTAACCTATACATGGAATTTTTTGAAACAAGGTTGCTTAACACAATCCTCCCTAATAGAGCTAAATGGTTCAGATATGTTGATGATATTTTGTGTCTTATGCCCAAAAATGTAGATATACACCATTTCCTTGGAAAAATTAAATAGCTTAGCCCATTCTATAAACTTTACTGTTGAGTTTGAAGAAAATAACTCATTGCCTTTTCTAGATGTTTTAATTATTAAGGGTAATAATGAATTCAAATTTAAAATTTACAGAAAACCTACAAATAACTGTTCCTATGTCCACTATTATTCCTCGCATCAAGATAGAGTCAAACTGTCTGTTTTCTCATCAGTGTTTTTGAGAGCTTTACGAATTTGTAGTCCTGAGTTCATAGATGAGGAAATATACAAAATTTTTGAAATAGGTAATGATTTAAAATACCCAAGAAATGTAATTGATAAATCTTTTAAAGTTGCTAGAAATACTTTTTACAATCCAAAAAGGGACAACCAGCCTTATTCAACTAAAAATATGTTGGTTCTCCCTTACCATGAAAACTTGGTTCATATGCCTTCTCTTCTTAAGACTTTTAATATTAAAGTTGTATTCAAAAATCTTGATACAGTAAAAAAACTTTTGATAAAGAATTCCCCCCAAAATGCTGATGGATGTGTCTATAAGATTCCTTGTAAAATTTGCGATAAAGTTTATTACGGTTAAACTGGTAAAAATCTCGAACTAAGATTAAAACAACATAAATATAGCATTAGAACTGGACAAGATTCCAATGCTCTATTTATTCATGTAAGAGATTTTAACCATCCAATTGATTTTCAAAAAGTTGAGAAAGTAGTATCAAGCAAGTCCATGGTCGACAGGAGTATAATTGAATCTTGTTTCATAAAAAGCAGTTTTGACAATAATATGAATATTTCCTTTGGTTTATATAAATTAGATCCATTTATAATTAATAAAATTTGGGAAGAATTTAATAATACACTGGACAAATAATAATTTTTAAATTTTCTTGGGTAGAATAGTTTGTGGGAGAGTTGTGCAAAGGACCTATCCAAGTTGGGTCGGCGCGCGTCAGGTGTTTAACCGTTGTGGGATCTGACAGTGAGGTGCTGGCCAGACCCCTTATATAGCTTCCTTGGATGCTTTACTTTCATAGTTCCTTGATAATGTGAGTAGTCACGAAAGCGCTTGGAATTTCTCTATTCTTTCAGAGTGGTTGTTTTGTATATATATATATATATATATATATATATATATATATATATATATATATATATATATATATATATATATATATGCAAGGAATTCACGAGAACATGCGAAATATACACAAACACTGATCTCATCTCTGGCTGAAGGAGACTCGAACCTACGAACCTTAGGACAAGGTACGCAGTGCTTTACCAATCTACCCACACTGGACCAATACCTTGGCGTGTAGCATGAGCTACACGTTTGATCCAAGGCAGCCAGCTCATGCTACACGCCAAAGTATTGGTCCAGTGTGGGTAGATTGGTAAAGCACTGCGTACCTTGTCCTAAGGTTCGTAGGTTCGAGTCTTCTTCAGCCAGAGATCAGTGTTTGTGTATATTTCGCATGCTCTCGCGAATTCCTTGCATTGTTCAAATCTCTAGTAAGGCTGATGCATGCAGGGGATGAGATGAAAAGCTGTAAGCCTTCTCCTGAAAACTGGCTGTCCTTGGTCCTAAGGTACGTAGGTTCGAGTCTCCTTCAGCCAGAGTCAGTATTTGTATATTATAATATTTATTATATAATATATATATATATATATATATATATATATATATATATATATATATATATATATGCTCAATAATAACCCTCATGGAGACAGAAACATAGAATATTGATTTGAACTGTATATTCGATCCTCTTCTAGGATCCTCTTCAGCAGATCAGTCATCTTCTGAGTTTGTGTTCGTGTGGGGTCATTATTGAGCATTGACAAAGGTTCATTACACTTTAGTTATATATATATATATATATATATATATATATATATATATATATATATATATATATATATATATATATATATAACAACTCTGGCTGCAAAAGTGACTCGAACTCGCATTCCCCTCGCCAGAAACACAATGTTGTACCCACTTAACCAGCTTGGCCACTACATGTTCATAAAGTTGAGTGTGATGGAAGTATTTACACTCTCGTCAATGATGCAACCTCAGATGTACTCGGGCAACAGGAGCTCATAAATGTATATATAAATTGGAATATTTTCATCGATCGTCCTCTCAAGAGAGGGCTGTAGCACTACAACTGATAATAATATTCCTTTTTTGTTTCACTGATGAGAGTAAAAATACTTCTGACATTCTCAAGCTTACATGGATGTCTTTGCCGAGTCGGTTAAGTAGTACCATATTTTATCTCTTTGGTTTAAGGGGACAGATGTGTAGGATTGAATCACTTCACTACAGCACAGTATATGGCAACAACAAAATATTTAATTACTCATTACCTCACAACATAACATCAGTAAATCTCACCTGGCCAAGAGCACTATTATCTGGTAGTAATTTTTCACCCTGATAACCTTGACAGGCGGGTGGGCTCAGGTAGCAGAGATTCCCGCTGACGAGCCACTGCGCTTCAAGAGTGAGGATCTGGAGAACAAGAAACAGTACAAATTCAAGATCACAGTGAGCAACAAGCTTGGGGCCTCCGACCCAGCTGTCCATCCGAAGATCATCCTCGCCAAGGATCCATGGGGTTAGTACGATAAGTTCATTGATTCTTGTGGCCAGTATGGAAACGTGAATTTGGGGAGCAAGGGGCCTAAAGTTAAAGAAAGAGGGGATCAACCACAAAAGCTTCTTATGGCATTTATTATATGGTATATTATTATTATCTGATCATATTTTACTTTTCTCGTCGGATAACATCAACAGTTTAAATTTCTCTTAAGCTGCCCAAACACCCAGTATGTGTGTGCGATCTAACAGCAAGATATGAATGCATATCTGTATCTTACTGAGTAATAAAAGAAGAAGTAACGATTCCTAATTTTTGCACGTCTTTCCATTCCTACAGATGAGCCCGGTAAGATCTTGCATGTGGAGGTCAACGACTGGGGACCAGAACACGCAGATCTCCGCTGGTCCAGACCAGAAACCGATGGCGGTGCCCCCATTACTGGCTATGTCATTGAGTTTAGGGTAAGAGGTCACGCATCTTAGTATGTTACGTATATACGGTAATCACGAGAAGGGTTCTGCCAATTACGTATTGGTTGCAAATTTTATTATTGCACGCAGTCACTTGTGGATAATAGGTGTTTTGAAGCAAAATTATTTACAATAGTCTTAATAAGGAATGCTTCAAAATAATCGTGCACTGACAAGTGTAGTAATAGAGGGAGAATTTCAAGTAGCTTAATTTTTATTGTGATATAGCCTAGCACTCTATATATAAAAACTATTAAAGTAGAAAGCAACATTGTTAGTTATAGCATAAAAGTTATTAGTCCAGATAACATCAAACTGTGAATAGAAATAGATAAATAGCCTAGTCAAAATAAATAAATAGCTTAGACTCGAAATAGATAAATAGCTTAGATTCGTAATAGATATATAGCCTAGTAGGTTTACTCAGGTAGCACTGCTAATGGAAGCTTCAGATTACTTTTAGTGATAAAACATTCGTTGTTTATTTCTTTAGTTTTCTTCCATCCTCACTCTTCTAATATCGTAGTTATTTTCTTGAACTGATTATATTTTCCCTTCTCCATGGCAGCTACAAGGGAACAGCTCTTCTAACTATATTCTTCTCCCCAGTGTCTACTCATATCTCCTACCAACTTTTTTTCCTTTTTTTTTCTATATTACTCATCTTGTAGCAAGTGAAAAGTAGACCGGTTTTTAGAAATGATCTTTCCTGGTGTACTTCTGATAGTGTATGTGTGCACGTAGTTGTTCTTACTGTCTGGTAGAAATGTATAGTCCATCCTCAGCACGAATTTCTTGTATAACTCTACATGCATATACAGTATATATATATATATATATATATATATATATATATATATATATATATATATATATATATATATATATATATATATATATATATTCCTTTCTTCCTTTCAATGTTTTTAAATTATAATTGCAACTGTTATATTTGTATTCTAACAGCGTAATGTCTCTTTAAAAAATGGTACATTAAACTGCACAAACTGTTTATGTTTTCCTAACTGATTCTTGTATAGTTTGCTCCTTTGTGCAGTAATTGTGATTCATGTGCAGCTTGTCAAGGTGTTATACAGTAATGTTAAAGAATTCAATGTGTTCAGCCTGATCAGCCCAGTTTGTTCTTGTGATATAATACTTGATCAGATTACCTGAGCTGGCACAATGGCCTGGAGCTGTGGTCACTATAAATATGTGACATAGCTTAGAGGTGTCATCACTATCTACTGTTTCAATTTATAAAGTGACTTAAAAGTATTAATAGCTAGCTATCAGTCGTCAAGTTTGGTTTTTGCAGCTCCAGCTCTTGGCCAGGCCAGCTTTTTTTTTTTTTTTGAATTACTGGAACCTGCTCATTCTCCTATACATGATTGGAGGCGTTGGTGATATTATTAAATTAATAGTGAAGAACTAAACCCATAAGAGTCATACAACACCTGAGGAATCTGAGGTAATATCGCTTGATCCAAGGAAGGCAGACTAACTATAATTAATTTGACCCAAGATTCACCAACATCATCGTACCTCCCTGGAAGTGTAGACATCTGTCCATCCTTCCGATGATATATTTATTATTATTATTATTATTTTGGAGAGTGAGGAGGTGCAAGGTGTTACCTACAATAAGGTCTTAACACGTTGATAACACATGTACTGTCGCTCTACAGACACGCGCCATGCCTGCTGGAGGAGAGGTGGTAAGACTGTTCAGGGTTCCTTGTAAGAGTACCACTTGTGGCGGAATCACCTATAATAAGCCTTTGGACACAAGGTCGCATAGTTCATCTGGAAAGTCATCGCGGTTATATACGTATAACTGCGATGGTTTCCCTTAATTGTTAAACATTTGCAACCAATGTTGTCATTCTTTTGAAGAGATGTGAGAATAACTGAAAATTGTTATTTAATAAAGTTAAACACAGACTTAGCAAGTAAGTCTTTACTGGGATTCAGTAAAGACTTACCTGGCTGACTGTCTTTAACTCGAGAAAGACTTTAGTGATAATAATGTTATTGGAAAAAAAGAACATTGCGAGATCATTCCATAAGGCTTGAAATAGATAATAACGCCTCAGTATATTTGCCTCTGTGGCTGACTTCTGGCTATCCTTGAGCTTGGTAGACTTGCTCGGCACTTGGCCGGGCTCCTCATTGCACTAGGAAACAAATAAATTGAACGATTTGTCCACCATATATTTATTTTCTAGTGCAAAGCTAGACTTTTGTCCACATTTTCTTTGAAAATTTAAAACCTATTTTCCTTTCAGTTAAAGGTGATATCTTTTAACATTCACTGGCAAGAGGTTTTATCTTCTTGTGGTGTCTTGCACTAACATTCAGCATAATAACCTCGATATTTAGCGTTCCAACACCACCTGTAAAATACTTAATTTATAGCCTTCTAAATAAAATAAATTATCATTCTGCACATAAAAAAGACATCTTAGATAATATTTACATAAAAATGCACACAAGCATTTTATAAAACACAGATAAAATAATATAAAAAATAGAATAAATCTGTCAACTGTGTGTTGCTCCTGTCTAACCCACCGTCTCTGAACACAACGTTTACCAACAGTGAAACGACCAGTCATCGTTAGTTGGTTCTTGAGTCTTTGGGTGATGTTGGAGACGTGGCCAGCTTGGTCTCTGACTAAGTGATTGGGAATGAAAGGCAGTAGTATAACAGCATCTACAAGTACTTATCAAAGAAAACTTTATAAATGTGACAATAGCGACGTTAACGTCGTTATTCTTCTTGCTGATACTTCAAGATGTTTACAGAACTGATCATAATAGACAGTCTTCCAAATTTCTTAGGGTTATCTTCCGGAAGGGAAGCTGTTTGTGAACATCATGAACGTTTCACGTATCAGGTTATGGTGATGTTATCAATTTAATTCCCCGAGTGGTACTGGGATGTGACCAAGTATAATACGCTGCGGTCGGAGTTAGCACAACTTTTGAACTGTCTGTAATACGGATTACTACCCTGAGTATCATACCTGAAGTATGTCAAGACTTTATTCTCATCAGACCTTACACCAGCATCTATCCTTCGGTGCTATTACAGTTTGGTCAAAATAGTCATCTCGAGTGTGAGCTAATAACAAGACATAATTTTGTGATCAGCAACCCTAGATATATTTACTACGTTATCACTAACCTTCATTGTTAGTTTATTGATATGGCTAAATGTCTCTAGTAACTCCCAAAGGTTCATAAATCACCAGTCACTTACACAGATTCAAGAAATCATGGCTTTCGTGATTTCACATCTCAAACAAGACGACACACTAAGTTGAATGGGGCACTGCCCTTGTGGGATGGCCTCCCACATCCTTGATCTACTCCAGAGCGCCTGCAGCGCTTTACGAGGTGCGGCAGACAGCGTCACTGCAGATAGGTGGTGGTTTGCCATGTGAGGTCGCCGCAGAGTATGTCAAGGAGGGTTTATGGGCTGTGCCTCCTAAGCTCACCTTACACAGCAAAAACACTCTTCGTTTCTCTGTCTCTCACGTGTGTTTTAATTCGTTGAGCTTTGTAGAAGTAATAAATCAGCATATTTATGTAATATGTATTTTGCTATAAACAAAGTTATCTTTATATTTTAACCAAATTCATTTTGGCGCTTCACGCTATAATTACACTAAATATTTTCTCAATAAATTCCAGCACGTAGTCTTCGGTGCATCACAGTAAACAAACACTTCCCTTTATGTCCAAGTTTTTAACAGAGTAATAATATAAAACGTTAATTTAGAACCCTCCCCAAATATTCTGATTACCCGAATAGCGTTCCAGGACAACTTTGTATTGAAATCTTCCCCTCCCTCCCTCCCCTCTCCATAACAAGTAGATTTTCCCCTCCTGCTTTCCCTTTTCCCGACCTAGTTTCCCTCCCGTGCGGAACCTTAACTCCTGCGCACACTAATATTACATCTTCTCCATTCAGGATCGGTTCTCAGACTGGAGTAAAGGTATAGAGATCCAGGGCGACGTAACGGAGGGAACCATCCCCAACCTGAAAGAAGGCAATCAGTATGAGTTCCGCGTAAGGGCTGTAAACAAAGCTGGCCCCGGCGAGCCCTCAGACCCCACCAAACCTATCCAGGCTAAACACCGCTTTGGTAAGTAAATCTGTTACAGGGGAGTTGGTTACGTATGTACATAATTAAGAAAATAACGGTAATGTAATGTATGGTGTGTGTGTGTGAGAGTAATACCACTGTAATGTATGGTGTGGATATTGCGTGTTTAGGGTCATTTTGGATTCTTGTGTATTAATCTGTTCTGTGTATTTATACCACCTTGTATTTGCATTGTTTTAAATAAAATAAAAAAAAAATTAAGAAAATAAGCTCTGGTTACTGGTGGAAATGATCCCACATTTAGATAATGAAACAGGAAACATAAATTCTGTATGAGGCCGAAATATATGGTCCTGTCTTATCTTCTCCTTTCCTTGTTTTCCTGTATTTTCGTGTACTCTGTGTACATAAATCCTACGTGATATTCAGAAGAACCATTTTTATCTCATCCCACGACAAGGAGAGGCACCTTTAACTCCGACGTAAATTCTTATCCTGTGATATTCTAAGATAAAAAGTATATTTTTCTTCCTAAAATGTAACCTTCAGTAAAAAAAAAAAAAAAAAAAGAAAAAGAAAAAATAGATCCTCACGATATCGTAAAATGTGATTTTTGGTCTGGTTGCTTTAAAACAAACGTACAACGTACGTAGAAGCAGTCTGTAGGTTGTGTTAAGTTTATTTTAATGTCCTTATGTATGTTCACATTCAGTAAATTGTGTAGTGAATGTTTATTGCTTATCACCAGTGTCCGTATTACATATTGATATATGTACCTATATATATCTGTACATGAAGTTTTAAATAAAATCAAAATCAAAATCAAAACGGAAGCTTAGTAACTCTGATCACCTCCAGAGCAACACCCGCTCCTCCACTTCATTCCACGGATAGATAAACCCCTCCACTACTTTCGACTCCACCGCCGTCATAAATCCCTCATCCGCCGAATTAGATTAAACCTACCTATCTATCATTGTCTTGTGCCCACAGTGAGACCTTTCGTGATCAACAAAGACGAGTTCAGAAACATCGTAATCAAGAAGACACAGCTGTTCAAGCTGGACGTCAAATACGGAGGTGAGCCCGAGCCGAGGGTGATCTGGAAGAAGGATGATAAAGAGGTGATTCCCGACGAGGAACAGAGGTGAGCGACCAACCGCTGGGAACCAAGGTAGGGACGAGCTATCGTGGCATTGGAAAGGGAAGGGAGAGAGAGACAGGGAAGATGCTGATGGGACATGAGGAAGGATCAGGGTATAGAAGAAAAAATGAAAGAAGCGCCATTTTTTTTATATAGAAAAGCTACATTCCAAGTGTGCAGCTATCCTATTCTATACTGTAGTTACGCCGTGTCGAACAATTTTTTTTTTCCTAAACACATAATGAAATCTATCAGCTGCGGCTTTAATAACTACTGGAGCTCCAGATGTTATGTTCCAGCAGTTCTAGAATTACTCTCACCTAGTTAACACCATCCCTAAAAAATAACTTCTCACATACAGATGTAGAAGAGTTAGTAAGGATATCTAGAAATCATATTCGTTTATAAAGGTCAAGACTAATAATATTCCCATTGCCTATAATAAACACACATTTTTAATATAGTATTTCAAACAAAAATTTTGATTGGGAATAATTACAGTTTAGATATTAGCTAATAAGGCGGTTGTTTTAGAGACAAAATATTTTTGGGTAAGAGTATCATATATATATATATATATATATATATATATATATATATATATATATATATATATATATATATATATATATATATAGGGAGAACTGCTTGAGCAGATGGGGTCAGACAAGGTGGAGGGGTGGGTAGGCGTACATTTATGAGGATATAGTTAAGGAGCGCCAGTAGAACTTCTCATCAGAGCACTGAGTCCTGGCAGGAGGACGACACTCTCTTAACATTCTCCCACACGCAGAATAAACACTTTATGTGCTTTACAAGAGCTCAGTTCTTGTTTTATTAACATTGTGTCATGTGTAAGTGCTTGAAATATCATGCTTCTATATGGAAATATTTTTATTCAATTTTGTGTTAAAAATCTTTAACCTAAATGATCCTTGACGAATCCTACAACCCGCAACAGGATATCCATTTGCCTGGTCCCTAGTTGGGCCAGATTGGCCCTAGGGATGAACCAGCTGGACGTTTGGTCATCCTTTGTATAAGTCATCATTAAACCAAACCACCTAACTACTTTCACAAATGTTATTTCCATAAGGATTTACTCCATATTTGTAAACACGTACATCATTTTCTTACAGGCTACCAGATCCTTACAACTGCCGAAGGTGACACCGAGTGCCTGGTTATATCTAAGGCAGAATGCAAAAAGCAACTCACTCACCCACCTCCTATTGGCTTTGTGTTAACACATGCACCAACTCCTTAGCACCCTCCTCCCAGTAGCTCCTGCCTCTTCACGTTATCATTCATATTTCTATATATTTTCTCATTTTATAGGCAGATTTTTGGTAGTATTTTATTTTTTTTGGAAGAATATATATATATATATATATATTATATATATATATATATATATATATATATATATATATATATAATATATATATATAAGTTAATCATAGCAACAGATCACACTTAACACATACCCCAACTTTGATATGTCGCATTTAACACAGCTCCATTTTTAGAGATCGTGTTGATTTGCTTCAGAGAACTGTTGCGGATGTTCACAGAGATGAAAATAAAACAAATGTACAAAAATGCAATTGTATAAATATACAAAAATTTTGTAAACAATAATTGTCTTTTTGACAAACCGCAGTGAATACATAGTCCGACACAGTTTTCTGTGATCTGTGCAACGTTTTTTTTGTTTTGCCAACCACTTTCTGTGATTATAAAACAGACAATTGTTTTCTTCTCACCAGAAGGCTCGGAAAATAGTCAGTTCTTGTGGTGAAAACCAGCAGTTCACTCTGAGTCAACTAATGAGTGGTAGTCCGTGTCAGGCACCACACATGTTGCCATGCTAGAGGCAAGGCTCAAGGCTCTTTGTTGACGTTTGGGATTACATGTTAGTGAGGTGCCTTGAGGTCATGACATTCATTATACGGCCTCAGTGGAATCTCTAAGGAAGGTCACTTCTCATATCATTAAAGAAGGTCATTATGACATCAGGGCAGCTGCGAGGCCCACATCACAGCTTACATGTCGAGGTATGAGACAGCTATTCCACGAACAAGGAAGCAGTCGTTGTGAGCACTGCTCTTAATTATGCCATATTTGTCCCGCTTGATTATAGTATTAAATATTATAATTATTATTATTATTAATTATAACTCTTGGAAATGCTCTAAACCCGTAATGATCATACAGAGCTTGGAGAAATGTATGGATGAGATACTCATGTTTGATGTTAGGAAGGGGTTGACAACTCAAAATCCTTGGAGTAAGAACCCTTCACAAGCATTTAATTATAAAAACGACGTCAAACAGTGACAAGTAGATGAGTAAGATACATGAGCAACAGCTCGGTGTCTCTGTTATTGAAACATTTTGCTGGAGACTAAATATGGAGAGAGGAAGAGTAGTGGCGAGGTAAACAAAGCTCCTGGAGAACGAAACGTTGCCACAATAAAATGTCACATTAGTTGCACTTGTGTCCTTTTACTTTACATGATGTTATCAGTCCGTCAACCTTGAACTAGTTTTTGAAATGGTGCGTTCCTCAGCCTGGAGAAGAGATCAGCTTCATAGTCTGAAGCATGAGACTGCAGCCTCATATAATGCCAAAGGTGAGGCGTGGAAAATCTCGAAGACATCACAGGAGGCGGAGCGCACTAGCTTAGAAGCAAAGAGGTAAGAATTGTGGAACACATCAGCCAGCCTACTGGTCCATGCTAAGCAGGTCTCACTTGAGTCCAACCCTAGTCACTCATAACTAGTGGTTAAGAATTGGAGTTGTGAAAGATGTACTATTTACCATTATATCGTTGTGTTACTGTGTCAGACAGGTATAATTATGAAAATGGTGTACACTGCCGACAAGAGTATGAGTAAGACACATGTTTTACTCATGTGCACATATGCACATACCGTGACTCCGCAACACAACGGTATCTTAGCATACAGGGCATCTTACACAGCTTTATTGCTTAACCACTAGTTATGAGCAAGATGGGCTTGATCTGAGATTGACCTGCTTAGCATTGGTCAATACGTTTGTCCAGTGCTCCTCACTTTACATGTTCTTGCTTCTGCTTGGGGTTCCATCTTCTGCGATGTCTTCGAGACTTGTCCTCGCCTCACTTTCGGCAGTATATAAGGTTGCATACTTATGCTTCAGCTTCACATTGTTCCAGATTATGGAAGTGAACTCTTCTCCAGATTGAGGGACTGACCACTTCAAAATCTGCTTCAAAAACTACTCCTGTTGTCTCCATATTTAGCTTTATCTGTATCTGAGTAAAGAAGCCTACTGTATAGGCGAAATGTTTCAACAACTGTTGAGAATGTATTTTAACATCCGAAGTATCAAAGGACTTCCCTTGGTCGGCTTCTCAGTGGCCTCTGGCTTGAGCCTGGCTCTGGGCTCAGAGCTGCTGCTGCTGCTGTGTTTTACCCCAAGAACTGTACAGTGATGGCATGTGCATGGGAGCCGCTCAGCCCTCCTGGCAGACGGGCAGCTCCTGATTGGTATCTTGTTTCAGCTCTCCGTTACACATTTCTTCGCTCTGCTGTTTATATATATGATGCGTGAGCTTGCATATATTGGTATAGTGTAAGTTGCAATCTCTCAAATTTCTGGTTGTTTGAAGAGCTGGTGCTGCAGTTAACACCTCATGGCATAGTGAGTAGAGCTTTTGCTACAACTAGAAGCTACACGCATCAAAAAGTTCCATTGTTCTGTGCATGTTAAAATGTGTTAGGTATGCGTAATTGCACGATTGTTGCCAGTCATTGTTAAAGATAATGTATTCTTGTGAATAGTACCTGTTGTTAAAGTTCAGTTAAATTCAGCTCTGTCTTCATGTTTTAAAGATAATGCTGATGCTACTCGCTTGCTCTTGCCAGATGTATGTACCACACAAGATAATTATGATCAGAGATGTCCCGCACTGCTGTTAGCACAGTAGTGTTGACTGCATCACTTTAGTACGGATGTTTAGGTCAGTTGTGACACACACACATGACCGTCACAGAATCACAGGTCACTTGTGAAACACACATTGGTCATTAGATCAACGGAGGCTTTTGTGAAGTAACAACGGTCTCTGGATCATGAGAACAACAACGGTTCCTGCATCACAAGAGGTCTCTTGTGAAACAGACGACGGTCACTGGATAATAAGAGGTTACTTGTCAGAGTTGATAATCACTAAGTCACCAGAGGTCAGCTGTGACACAGATGACTGTCACAGGTCAAACAAAGATCCTTTGTGGCACAGGTGACTGTAACTTGGTCACCTAAGGTCTCTGGCACCCTAGACGGGTCGCCAAAAATCATTCATGACACAGGTGACAGTCAGCCTCCATTGTAAACCTCATTCTGCCTCTGCTTAGCATTTTGGAACTCAGAATCTAATATATAAGGAGTATCAGACACATCTATTCGTATATACTCTCAGCCACAACAGATGGCACTATTACACGTAATATATTCCTCACATCTCCTCCCTCCCTCGCCCCCCCACCAACCCTGTTGTACACACCAACTTATTTGCTCCAAACAATACTGAGTTTTATCTCGGTCTGGACCCCTTCCCTTCCTCCCCATGATACTATAGTCTTGTACTGTACATGCATGTCGAAACTATGCTGTGCCAGTGCTGGTGAAACCCTCATGTGCTGTATCTCCTGATCAGGATTACCATCGAGCAGTTCGAGAGAAACACGGTGTTCACGCTGAGGAAGGGTGTACGCTCAGACACGGCAAAGTATAAGCTACAACTGGTCAACTCTGTAGGCGAGTGTGAAGAGGAAGCTGACGTTGTTGTCCTCGGTACGTCACCATATTCAATATTCTATAATCTTTCTAGTTTTCCTGTACAAAGAGGTACTTAGTTTTCTTGTAAATTAATTTTTAACCAGTATTGAAGAGGAATGGATATAATACGTTTTCTTATGTCTCCAGCTAAACCCACCCGGCCCGAGGGACCGCTCTTCCCTGAGGAGATCCGCGCTGATCATGTCAAGCTCAAATGGAAAAAGCCCAAGGACGATGGTGGTTTGCCCATCGAGGGTTACATCATCGAGAAGATGGATGTGGATACCGGAGCCTGGATACCTGCTGGCGAGGTAAGTTTTTTACGGTTAACTATTGCGGCCTGTAACTTGGCCAACGTGGACGGGTATGTCTTTGATTGGTGAAGCAAAACAGAAGGCATAAATGCAATCAGAGAAACAAAAATCTGGATTTTAATGTCCTGTTCTGTAGATATACATACATCTGTTAATGGTTCTGGGGCTTATGTTGCCCACGACCCGGTCTCTGGTAACGCCTCCTCAACTCCTTCACCATCTTAGAGAGAAAAAATGTTAGGAATATAACCAATAATTGCTGAGACACGAAAACAGTTAGCTATCACGAGCACAGCTGAAGATACATGAGCCATCCTTCCTTCCACTGTGTCTGTTGTGTGTACCTCATTGTTATACATATAAATACATGCATACATACTTTTATGTCATGTGTCCACACACACCAAGTGCGTTTTCATTCCAAGACCATTTGAATTCGTGATGTATGCTTGTTTCTGTATCATTCACAAATTCTCTTTACTCTGCTCCACTTTACACTTATGATTAGCTGATACAACAACAACAGGAGAAGCAGCAGCAACCTTACCCGTGGTCTGTGATGACCGTGAACGGAGCCACACACCCTACCTGATCCCTGTGTGACCTCTTCCATGTCCCTCTCCCTCCCACAGTACATAGCGGTTCCCCAGCGAGCTACTCTCTCTCAGGATCTCACAGTCGCCCCTACAGACACCAGGAGCTCCATACATCGTAAAGAGTCCTACAGAAAATCTCCAGAGGAGTCTTTGATTAACGTCCAGGTAGCTTTTTCTAGACGTGATGCTTAACTCTCCCTCTCAAGGTCTCTCTGGCTGCACAATGGGAAGAGTCTGTATAATTGTGCGATCTTGGTATAAATCTACAATTGAAACATGACTTACAGTATGCTTCATGCTGGAGATAAATTTTTATCACTGATATGACTAAAATGACGCAGTTTAATTCCGCTCATTATGCTGTAACTACTATGGACAAAGCAGTTACTCTACAGTGACTGGATTGAATATATTAAGCTAGATCTAATTTGTATAGATCCAGACTCATGCAGGGCGTGACTGTCTTGTTTTATAATTAAAGACAAATGCTTCTCATTTCTTAGGGGATGGAATTGAGAAATTTTCCAATGAATTCTCAAGATAAGCTTACAGATCTGGGACAGGAACTTTGGTAAGCAAACTAACGCGTGTAAAATAATGCAACATATTTAAATTCTACGTGTTATTTAAATTCTGGGTATTATGATCACTACACTCCCGAGGGTTACACTGCCATTCTACCTCTCAGAATTTTGCACCCCAACTACCTTTTGTAGCCCTTGAAGATAAACTGAAGTGCGAAAGACCTAGAGCTAGTTTTTTTTTCAATCCCTTAGTGGCTGTCCGGTATTCGATTCTCATTACCTTACTCCTGAAGAAGCATTGCGTAATAATCACTTGTTGGTAATATGAGAGTAAAAACACACCAAATCAATTGCAAAAACGTTTCATGCAACATCAGGCATGATCAAGTACATCCACATCACTTTGTCTTCAGCAGAACTTATAAGAGACAGTGCACACACTCACGACAGAATAAAAACAGTTATCTCAATCGTGCACCACTTTTATTCATTTGTTTCACTATTTTGATTTGCTAGATATACGTGGCCATCTGTTCCGTTATGGCCCATGAAAAATTAATAATAATTTGTTATTAAAGTTTGTTGTAGTTTTTTTTTTGTCGTAATCCCCAATGATTTTATTTCAATGACGGTGTGGAAACTCCAGATTGGATTATGGAAATATTTCAATTTAAAAAAAAAAATAGGGCATTTTCTCAACGAGTAATTGTTTCACTTTTGAAATATATATTTTTTTATTTAATTACTGTCTACTAGACAGAACTCACATAATTGTTACCTTATATAACTGTACATTAGTTAAAACTACGAATGTACACTAGACAGGATTATTAATTTCCATCAGCCAGGAATCGTACTGAACGATAGATAAGACTGTGACTACAATAGACAAGACTACTGCAATACTAGACAATACTCGTATAACGGGTACTATGTTTTTATGCACTAGACATATTTCCTGCAACTGTAAGTTGATATTATTGCAAGTGAATGCTGCTCCTCTAGAAGTGTAGTGTTGCTCATTCAAGACAAAGACCCGTGTAAGAGGTCCTGGTTGAGAATGTGTTGTAAATAGCTCATTATTCTGTACATTACCGCTATACTTTGCCTCTTGTTTTGGTTGCTAGATTATCAGATTGGTAAGTAATTAACACACTAATTAATGAGAGAATACAGCAGGTTTAATATAAATTAATGCCTTTATTCTTTTATATAAAGGTAGACTAAAATTAAACGTAACCATTTAACTTGTCGCTTAATTTTCAAAATAGTTTCTTGAATTGACATTAAACTGAAGATAAATTACCAATTGAATTGGACGAGATAGAATGAATTTCATTTGTTAATCCAAAGTACTAATAAAATAAATTTTAACCCAAAGACTACAAAAAGAAGACACAAATAAATACTATATTTCCACGTAAATCTACAAATAATATTAATAATTTTTAAAGAGAATTGAAGTCAACAAATTCAGTTCTCCTAAACTGAGGCGGTAACTAAACTAGAAGTGAAACAATTTTCCCTTTATGCTTAAATAAATTTCTCTGTCAGATAACTCCCCTCTGAAGATAGGAATAAAATTATATCAGCCTCCTTACCAAAACTATCACTAAACCATTGCCCGTCAAGATCTGGTTTCCTTTTAGTAGCGAGTAGGCTAATTTTCTGCATCGTGAGGGAAGAGCTGACTCTCCCAAACAAGGATCCTGACAACGATTCCTTCAACAGCTGGTTCAAGGAGTGCTCTGCCTATCCTCACAGGTGGGACCGGAGACACAGGAGTTCACCGTGGACGGACTGACGCCCAAAAAGAAGTACAAGTTCCGCGTGAAGGCCGTCAACAAGGAGGGAGAATCAGAACCGCTGGAGAACGATGAACCCATTTTGGCTCGCAACCCTTATGGTAAGTCTTCAAACTTTGCAGGATACACCAGGAAGTGACTATTGGCGAGTAGGTTTTAAATGCGGTTTTAAGAGCCCCCTCGTGTAATCGATAGGCTTTAAACCCTGTTAATCAGCCAACCATTCTATTTTTTTTAGATACTTGATTTTACTGGAAGAGTTGTTATCCTACCTCATCTTCTTAAAGACCAGCTCTATGGTATACTAACACCCTCCCTAACACCTAGATACCTACTTACTGTTAGGTAAACAGGGACAGCACATGTAGGAAAACATGTCCAACGTTTCCACACGTGTGCAAATCAAAGCGTGCCATTTGAGCCACAAGGTTAACATTTGTCAGACCTCAATGTTTCCACCGTTTCATTTTAACACCTGTTCGACTTGCCCTTCCTCATTTATTACACCAGTCAAAGTTCCCCTCCTCAGCTCGTTTACACCTGGCAGATCCCTTCCCATCAAATCCAGTTGGTCAGAACTCCCCGCTGCTGACAATTGTCTGAAGTGTTTGACAGGGAAATTTGAGAGAGAGAGAGAGAGAGAGAGAGAGAGAGAGAGAGAGAGAGAGAGAAAAAAAAAGAAAGAGAAAGCGAGCTCCACTGGACCATACGATCCAAAGGATCGTATGGTCCAGTGGATTAGGGCGTCATGCGTTTTCGCCCACCATGAGGCAGCCAAAGCAGCATGGGTTCTAGTCCTTGGCTAGTGCAGTGTTGTTATTGATATATATATATATATATATATATATATATATATATATATATATATATATATATATATATATATATATATATATATGGAGAAACAATGCAGCAGGCCTACTGGCCCAAACTAGGCATGTCCTTTATTTTATTTTTCCCCTTAGCAGTTTAACCTTCAAGAAGCTATTTCTAAGCCTATATAAGCATCCACTGACCCTTAAATCGATCTTAAAGCCACTTATGTCGAAATAATGGCTGCAAGGCGACAAATCAAATATAAATAGCAGACACTGCTTTCAGGAAGCTAGACTCCTGGCTTTCGTGCCCTTCTCATTTCTAGAAGGACCCTTAAAACGCCATGAAAATAAGTAGTAATCCACTTGGCCGACAGTAGTAAAAGGGAACTATTCCACAATTCCCTTGAACGAGGAAAAAAGTAAGCATCTACTGTCATTCACTTCACTCACCATTAATTCTCAAATATATCACCAGAGCAACCGAGGCAAATTTCTTAAATGATCTTATGAAAAAGGAGGTACAATTTTAGACAATGTGTGTGTTTATATTACACCCAATATATTCCTATCTATCTTGTACTATATTGACTTGTTTGATAAGTTTTCTAATCTCCTTTCTCTTTATCTTTCTGAGCTGAAAAGAGTACTTCTTATAAAGTTAACGTTTGCGTTAACTTGTGTTCCCACAGACGAACCATCCCGCCCCGGCAAACCTGAGATCATTGATTACGACAACACGATGGTTGTGTTGCGGTGGACTCCACCAGAGAAGGATGGTGGCCGCCCCATCACTCACTACCACATTGAGATGAAGGACAAACTCTCGGTGGACTGGAAGGAGGTAGTGCAGACTAAGGATACCAACTGTGAGGCTCAGGTGCCCGGCCTTAAAGAAGGAACAGTGTACAGCTTCCGTGTTCGCGCTGCCAACAAGGCAGGTGTTGGTGAGGCCTCTGAGCCTACCGACAATCACCTCTGCAAGCACAAGAACCGTGAGTCATATTAATGCATTCATTAATACATTGTAATGACTATATCATCGTACACGCCTCATATTCACCAAACATTTGCTTAGTGTATTTTTTAGAGTTACTTAGTATGTGATGTGATGTGATGCAGTTTCAGTGCATCACATAACAATGCGCATTGATATTGTGCTCAAGTCATTGTTAATAGTGATTTTATTATAACATATTTTCGCTTTCATTTAACATTATAAAGAAGTCTTAACAGACTTTTAGTTGTGAAAATAAAATAAAAGTCTCGAACAGAATGTTTATCATTCCTAGTAGGATAGTGGAACGCTGTCTACTGTATATATTACCTGGAGTTTACCTGGAGAGAGTTCAGGGGGTCAACGCCCCCGCGGCCCGGTCTGTGACCAGGCCTCCTGGTGGATCAGAGCCTGATCAACCAGGCTGTTGCTGCTGGCTGCACGCAAACCAACGTACGAGCCACAGCCCGGCTGGTCAGGAACCGACTTTAGGTGCTTGTCCAGTGCCAGCTTGAAGACTGCCAGGGGTCTGTTGGTAATCCCCCTTATGTATGCTGGGAGGCAGTTGAACAGTCTCGGGCCCCTGACACTTATTGTATGGTCTCTTAACGTGCTAGTGACACCCCTGCTTTTCATTGGGGGGATGTTGCATCGTCTGCCAAGTCTTTTGCTTTCGTAGTGAGTGATTTTCGTGTGCAAGTTCGGTACTAGTCCCTCTAGGATTTTCCAGGTGTATATAATCATGTATCTCTCCCGCCTGCGTTCCAGGGAATACAGTTTTAGGAACCTCAAGCGCTCTCAGTAATTGAGGTGTTTTATCTCCATTATGCGCGCCGTGAAGGTTCTCTACATTTTCTAGGTCAGCAATTTCACCTGCCTTGAAAGGTGCTGTTAGTGTGCGCAACAATATTCCAGCCTAGATAGAACAAGTGACCTGAAGAGTGTCATCATGGGCTTGGCCTCCCTAGTTTTGAAGGTTCTCATTATCCATCCTGTCATTTTTCTAGCAGATGCGATTGATACAATGTTATGGTCCTTGAAGGTGAGATCCTCCGACATGATCACTCCCAGGTCTTTGACGTTGGTGTTTCGCTCTATTTTGTGGCCAGAATTTGTTTTGTACTCTGATGAAGATTTAATTTCCTCGTGTTTACCATATCTGAGTAGTGACGATTATATCAGGAGCATTTTCCCCCTCCCACAGTAAAGCCACGTATCGACCGCACAAATTTCAAGTCAGTGACCATTAAGGTGGGTCGCAGCCACAAGTGGGCAGTCGACTATATTGGTGAGCCTGAGCCTGAGGTGTTTTGGTCCCGCGGTGAGAACATCCTCTCTAACACGGACAGAATTCACATCGAGAACACCGATCACCACACCGAGATCTCCATCACTGATGCCACCAGGAAAGACGCCGGTCTTTATACCCTCAAGATCGAGAACCGCAATGGTCAGGACAGCGAGACTGTAGAGCTCGTGGTTCTTGGTGAGCATCAGTAATTGTTTTAGCTGTTCATGCATCAGCTTAGATACCTAACATCACACCAAGATTTATATAATTTCAGGCCGAGCGTCTTAAAACTTAATCATTATTGACTGTGCACCTACTTTTAGTAGCGTTGAACGATATTTCTATTAATTCACCTAATGAATAATTATAGCCAAAATGACTTTGCTTGGCCTAGAGATTTTACATTTGCTACTGAGTTTAAGATTACATATGATAGAGATACTTGTGGTAGGATTTTCAATGGGAGCTAATGAAAGGTGTTTGCCACAGGGAAGCCCAGCAAGCCCAAGGGTCCCCTGGAGGTATCCAACATACACGATACTGGCTGCAGGCTCAAGTGGGAGAAGCCTGACGACGATGGTGGACTGCCCATTAAGGAGTATGAGGTGGAGAAGATGGACTTGGCTACTGGCAAGTGGGTCAGATGTGGCAAGGTGCGTCATCCACTTTATTCTTTTTCTCTTGAGTTAAACTATTTAAAGCACCGCGCTTAAACTAAAGTAAATTTTACGTCAATAAACATAAAGTGTCTCAAAATTTTAATCGCCCGAAGTTCGCTGGGCTGCACATCTTTCGCCTCGTGCGTATCCTCTACTTCTAATTTTATTTCTCGCCGGACTTTCTTTTTTCAAGCTCTGTTTTTTATTCAATTTCATTCTACTCTGTCTTCATTTCTGAAACTAATATTGTTTCCTGAGTGATAACCACCGTGGCGTGGGGAGGGTGCCCCGTGCCCTAGCCCAGCCACGGTCCCGAGCCCTGAATGACATGCTTCCCTCCCCGTAGTGCCCCGGAGCTCTGGCTCCTCCATACTTCAACGTGGAAGGTCTGGAGCCGGGACACCAGTATAAGTTCCGCGTCACAGCTGTCAACGACGAAGGTGACTCCGATCCGTTGGAGGCTGACGGTGCCATTCTTGCCAAGAATCCCTACGGTAAGTCCCTTTCCCCTATGTCTTGTGCTGCCTATCCCACATTTCAAACCAAACTTCACAAAGTACTTGTAGAAAAAAATGATAACGCAAGAATTGTTTTAACGACATACAAAAAAAAAAAAGACAGTTGAAAAGTAATGAAGGAAAAGTTTCTCTTAAAACTGTTATCATCTGCAAAAACAAAAATGTCATTTATGCATTTTAATCACATGTACCTCTTGACCCTCAGATGTAGCCACGGCTCCTGGTAGACCAGAAATAGTCGACTATGACAACAAATCGGTGGATCTCAAGTGGACTGTGCCGGAGTCGGATGGTGGAGCTCCCATCATGAAGTATATCATCCAAAAGAAAGACAAGTGAGTCTTTAGTGCTGATACTGTTTTTCCTTAAGTCGGGCTGAGTGTGTATATATTTTGTGGAATATATATATATATATATATATATATATATATATATATATATATATAATATATATATTATATATATATATATATATATATATGTATATATATATATATATGCAAAACAACCACTCTAAAAGAATAGAGAAATTCCAAGCGCTTTCGTGACTACTCACATTATCAAGGAACTATGAAAGTAAAGCATCCAAGGAAGCTATATAAGGGGTCTGGCCAGCACCTCACTATCAGATCCCACAACAGTTAAACACCTGACGCGCGCCGACCCAACTTGGATAGGTCCTTTGCACAACTCACCCACAAACTATTCTACCCAAGAAAATTCCAAGCGCTTGGAATTTCTCTATTCTTTCAGAGTGGTTGTTTTGCATATTCTGAAATCACCTGTTTACTGTGATCTTATTGCATATATATATATATATATATATATATATATATATATATATATATATATATATATATATATATATATATATAATATATATATATATATATATTGTAGTGTGGAACATTGTTTTGTTGTGGGGCAAAATGAGAGTAAATTTACATAAATTTGTCCCTTTTCCGCCTTCTACAGGTTCATGCCAGATTGGGAGGTGGCTGGAGAGTTGAAGCAAGACGTGATGCAGCCACTTAAACCCGGGACACCCGTGGAGAGCAAAGTAGTCGGACTGAAGCACAGGGCCGAGTACCAGTTCAGGGTGATCGCCGTCAACAAAGCAGGCAACTCGCCCGAGTCCGAGCCTACTGACTATCACCTCGTCAAGCACAAAGCCTGTAAGTCTCCGACACTCTCTTCATATGTTTTTCCTAATATATTTCCATCTGTCTGTTAATGATCCTCCTCTCATGCTTCCATGATCTCCAACAGTGAAGCCACGAATTGACCGTACCCACTTGAAGCAGACGACCATCAAGGCTGGCCGCAATGTTAAGTTTGATATTAACATCGAGGGTGAGCCAGCGCCGTCTGTACAATGGGTGCTCAAGGAAGCAGAGGTGAGAAAAGACGATACACGTTATTTCTTAGCTCTCAGATTCTGTGGCTCTTAAGGCATCAGATAAGGTTTTAAATCCTCAGAGTTTCAGATTTAATATTGATGGACTTTTGTAAGATAATATCATTGCTCAAAAAATAATTGAAAAATCAGGAGATTTGCATTTACTGGACGGCTTGCAAAAAGATAGTGTCTTGTGGAAAAAATACTTATGTCCAGTTTAGGATATTTATTAAAGGAAATTTTTAGCCACAAATGGCTTCCTCAGTCCTATTGTTAGTTATCGATCCTAATATTAGGTCTGAAGAAGTCATTCGTGAGCGAAACGTTTCCTTTAATAAATGTCCTAAACTGTACATAAGTGTGTTTTTCCACAACTTGTTGGACTCGCCAGACTAGTTCTCAGATAGTGTCTTCACCAGCTGTTAATCTCAGAGTAATTTGATTCATAGTCAACTTGATGGAAATCCTAGAACTAATTTCTGAAGCTGACAGGTTTTTCTTTTTATAATTTTAGTTTGGTGAGCATTTCTTTTAGATAATTAAAATGTTACGCAGAATCAGTCTATAGCACAATGCATCAACATGTGTTTTTCATATAAAGGAAAGTATTACTGTACATTAATTAGAGATGTATCGGATGTGAAAATTTAGATATTCGCGGATGCGGATGTGTATGAGGATGTCTTATTTCGTGGATGCGGATGTAAGAAATTGTGCAGATGTTCCGCGGATGTTGATGCAGATATAGGAAATTGTGGGATGTTCCGCGGATTCGGATGCGGATGCATATGCGGATATCTGTTTGTAGTAAAGTGCAGACGCAGATGCGGATGTAAGAAATTGTGCGGATGTTCCGCGGATGCGGATATCCGGTACATCACCAACATGCATGCTTCATATAAAGGAGATAACATTATTAAAATGAATGTATTTCAGGTGAGGGATAGTAACATCGAGATCATCAACGTGGACTACAACACTAAGTTCAACATGGTGGACGCTAAGAGGAAACAGACGGGTACCTACAAGATCATTGCCACCAACAAGCACGGCAAGGACGAAGCCGAAGTCGAAATCGTTGTCCTCTGTAAGTCGCCATATTGGCCTTGACTCATATTTCATCTGGATGAGCAGATCACGGGGTTGCCACAGGGTCAGTAAAACAGTGGTATAAACCTTGGTAAATGATACCGATAAAAGGGTTTAAAAAAACATGTGAGCAAACACTAGGACATATTTATTAGAAAACGTTTCGGTCCTGAGACCTTGATGAAGGTCCCAGGACCGAAGGTTATTCTAGTGTTTGGTCAATTAAGCAATGACAAAGGCTTGTCAGCAACAAGAGGTGCCATGATAGTCACTAGGGATAAGGGTGCTACTGTTATGTAAAATAATTTCCTCTAGGGATCACAGGTTATTGTGGGTTTATCAGATAAAAAGTTATCGTGAGGTCACTAAGTTACTGATATGTGCTTAATTTGCATTTAAAAAAATTGAACCTATTCACCAATTATTACATTCGTCCTAATTGCTACTGGATCTTAGATGGTACTAAAATTTAATGTATGTTGCACTGTTATTCTTGGTTATCGTATATTAATTTATTTTTACGTATAATTAACCGATAGTAACGAAATTATAAAAAAAATCTATAAATGAACTGCTCTACACATGGATCCATATATCGCACTGTCAACAGGAAGGAAATAAATAAGACACAATATTCTTGTTGTAGCACATTGTTGATGAGTGTTTTATTTACCAGCGACTGTATCAAGGCACATGTATAGGAGTTGGAGGTGAAAGAATTTAGTCACTTGTGAGTAGAGAGCAGAGTAGGTAAGGTTAGGTGATCGTAGTATCAAGTTTAGGGACAATAAGAATCACCAAGACTTCAGAGATTATGAATGATCCAGTTTTGATTAATGTTAGTAGTTGTGGCTATTACTGCGGATACTAAACATAACCTGCTGCGATGGTCACCTTCTTTGATGATGTCTTGCCTCTAGGAAATTCTTAAGGCAATTCTCAGCGTTTCGGGGTAGAGTGCATGTGGTCTAGTGTACCCATTCCTCAACACCTGCACCGTACTCTCTTCAACACTTCCTGCACGCTCCTCAACACCTGCACCATTCTAAACGCACTCCCCACAACTCATTGTTATCGTTTCCCATATAACATTCCCCTTAGCATGCACATAACACTTTCCTTATCACTTGAACAAAATCTCGTAAATACACCTGCAACATTCCTCTTCACCTTCACCATACTCTCCTCAAAACCTGCGACACACTTTTCTAAACACACCTGTGACTTTCATCGCCGGTACCACACTCTTCTCAAGACCCTACAACACTCCTCAACACCTACACCACACTTCTCAACACACTTGAAACACATTTCAAGTCATCTATTAACTGGGCTTCTTTCCTCAGCTGGTCCTGGGAAGCCCAAAGGTCCGCTGAAGGTGTCGGATGTGACGAAGAAGAGCTGCAAGCTCAAGTGGGACAAACCCGATGACGATGGTGGCAAGCCTATCCAAGAGTACTTGGTGGAGAAGCAGGATCCCACTACAGGCCGTTGGGTGCCTGTCGGCAGGACCAAGGTACGTGTCTCATACACCAGTCAACGGTAAGTTCTTGCAGGACCAAGATGTGTGTCTCACACACCAGTTATTGGCAGGTTCATTAGTGTTCCTACAGGGCCAAGGTACGTGTCTCGCACACCAGTCACTGGTAGGTTCATTAGTGTTCTTGCAGGACCAAGGTACTGTCTCGCACACAAATCATTGGTAGGTTCATTAGTGTTCTTGCAGGACCAAGGTATGTGTCACACACCAGTTATTGGCAGGTTCCGCAGTGTTGCTTTTAGCAGAATGTTTGATTCGATATCAGATTTAAAGCCAACCGAATACACGTAGGTATTAAGGGTGCATGGAATCTTGACAGCAACCGCCAAAGTTACTGTATTCCTAAAATAAACTTTCGGTATATATTAGCTGAGAAAGACACTCCTTTCGATGTTTATTACCTTAGATGTTTAGCGTGTAGGCACAAAAAATTATGTCCATATATTTTCAGAGTTGAATAATTCAATAATAATACTCGGAGTTGAAACGAGAGGTTTTTATTGCTTGACATGCTGTTGGAGAGTGAGAAACTTAACATTTATTGAAGAGCTTCAGAGAGACCAGTTAACCTGACTTTAGTGCTGGATGTGGGAAGTACACTTCCCTCACACTGAAGGATGAGTGAGGAAGTTTCAGGAGTGTGCGAATTTTTTTGAGTGATAAAAAAGGAAAATTGAAAAATTATGTAAAAAAAAAAACCGCTTTCTTACCGAAAAAATAGTGCATAATTCTGGCAACATGTTGATGTAATTAGCTTGTTTCTATCATATTTCTAAGTATGATTTTCCAAAAATGTAACTTTTTTGATCTTGCTGTCATCAAAAACACATTATGGCAATTAGTGTTTTTTTTACTTTTCTTCCAAAAATTACGATTTTTATGATTCATTCTGAATACATTACACTGCAACTTCTCTGAGGACTCCATTCAAATTCAGGAAGTGATACCAGCTCAGTCGCCTGAGGGCTTTCAACATGTGTTGAGGCGAGTAACATAGTGAAATGTGGTGCGCCGTGTCCGTAGAGTTTTACAGAAAACGTAATAGTATATGTTTAACTCAGGAATAAGTTAATGACATTATTTACCAGTTTTGGCGAAAAGTATTTATAGTATTGTCATGATTTTTGCACACGTTATTGAGTAATGATGGTTCTACTAGCATGTAAAGGGAATTTACGAAATTTTTACCCCTTTGTTTTTATTTATTTTTTTCCTCCCCCCAAAATTCTTAAAAAACAATAATAAACTTCAGCATTTTTTATAATGCAATTTATTGACATTTTTGCTCAAACGGTGTTAGTACCAAGATTATCTAGAACTTATCTTTCATCTGATGTCAACTAGATCATTGTACATCTTACCAATTTTTTAGAAAAGGCAGAGTTTTATGCCCTATAAAATAGGGCACTATTTATTTTTTTCTATCTATCTTTTAAGGCAAAAATTCACTACAGACACAGTGTGTAGGTTTCAAATGCTGCTTAAATCCCTATAAAAATTTCATTGAAATTGGAACAAAAATAAAAAAAAAATATTTTCCTAACACGCTCTAAAATTCAGTTCGGAAGGTTATGCGAAATGTGATGTCATTAAACTTCTGGGAAGAGAGCTATTGAATGAATAATGGTAAAGGCGTCTCCTCCATTTCTGGATGACACTACGCTGGTTGGAGACTCAGTTTCGTAAAAAAAATAACATTAACTATTATTATTATTATTATTATTATTATTATTATTATTATTATTATTATTATTATTATTATTATGATGATTAACGGAAAACAAATAATAATTATACCAAGTAAACGAACATCATTACATCAGGGAGTAAAAAATATAATAATAATAATAATAATAATAATAATAATAATAATAATAATAATAATAATAATAATAATAATATAATGTATAATAATGCAAATGAACATCTACAGATGAAACTTTACTATTGTTTGAATTGCTACTTTATTTGAGATGATATTGTCATTACTTAGCTTATGTTAGTTACTTGTTGTCAGAGGCTCTTGGCCAGTTCGGTGTTTGTATGAGTGTTTGTGCGTTTGTGTGTGTGTGTGTGTGTGTGTGTGTGTGTGTGTGTGTGTGTGTGTGTGTGTGTGTGTGTGTGTGTGTATGTGTGCACGCGCGAGTTTGAGGGTAAGGGATGCAAATCCTGGATGTGATGTACCTGGTATTTACTAACACAACTCTACGGAGTTTTATTACATGCTATCGCATGCCTCTGTTGTTGTTGTTATTGTTGTGGGATACTGGCAGGTGATGCGTTCGTCTGTGCTACTTGTATTGAAGTGTTTGTGTGGTGGTTACAGGACTTGACCATGGACGTGCCTGGCCTGCAGGAGGGTAAAGAATATAACTTCCGCGTGAAGGCCGTCAACGACGAAGGCGAGTCCGAGCCCTTGGAAACTGACCACTCAACCCTCGCCAAGGATCCCTATGGTATATATTTATATGCTTTTCTTTCCATTCTCTCCATTTTTGCTGGTTCTTTATGTCCAGATTTATTCAGTTAGCTTTTGTTACTGTTCTTTATCTATCTAGTTTTCAACTCCATACATACACTCGTCCCTCTTCCTGCATATATGACCTCAGCTCAAGGCACTACTGTAAGTGCTTTCTAGAGCGTCGTCGCTTACAGTATCTCACTCCACGTCCTACCTCGTGTCTCCACAGGCCCCCCTGGAAAACCTGGCATTCCAGATATCTTTGACTGGGACGTGGACCGCGTGGATCTCAAGTGGGATGCACCCAAGGACAACGGCGGCGCTCCTATCACCAAGTACATCATCGAGAAGAAGGAACGTTACGGCTCGTGGGAGACAATCCACGAGTCAGAGGTAAGTCTCGTTGTATATTAACCAAGAACAGCGCTTTAGGGCAACATAACTAAGTTTAGGTCAACATGAGTCAAAGCACCCAGTACAGTATGGTCTAACACACAGTAAAGAACTTAGTACAGTATAACAGGTTAAGACTCGGCAAACGACGTAGCATAATAACGCAGGTTATCACACAAATCAGCACGAGATGGTACATTTTAACATAATATCCATTTTCGGTGAAAGTAAGTTTAACTCAACACTGGAAAACCATCACTTGAAACATGGAGAAAATACACAAATAACCCGGACATAAAAGAGAGAAGCTTACGACGACGTTTCGGTCGTAAGCTTGTAAATGGTCCAAGTCGGACCGAAACGTCGTCGTAAGCTTCTCTCTTTTATATGCGGGTTATTTGTGTATCGTTCCAGTCACGGTATTGTGCCTTTTTTTTTATTTATGGAGAAAATTTTGTACTTAAACTAACACAGCTATACAAATCAGCACATGGAAAAGCGAATAACACAGCAATACAAGTGTTTCTCAGGGTATGCTGATGTCACAATAGTCAGCACAGAGCAGCTTACTACGATACAATGATAGTAAGCAGGGAATAAAATAGAAATAGTTGCATTAGTTAGAATAGACAACAATGGTTAAATGACAGGTGCTCTCAACTTTTTTCTCATGTTATTTATTGCCCGATTTTGTTTCTTTTTGGTATAGAAGCATTTTTTATTAATTTTTGACAAAGTTTCAATAAGATCGGCCAACAAACAACTACTTAAGCCAGCACAAGGCAGCATAAGTTACCACAGCAGACAAGTAAGACATACAAGTTCATAATAAGCTTCTATTGTGGGAACTTTTCGCACTGTTTAAACTTTATGAAGCCGATTCATAAAGCTCTAGATAATGACACATTGTCACAATGGACGGAGGATCGACCCTCCACCGTTACTTGCACTGAATGACCAACATGGATTTAACGTTTCTTCTCTGTTTAAAATACATTAACATTAGTCAACACATGAAAACATGGATTATCAAAAACTGTAAAAATCGCATAAAAACATTGAATAATATAACTACACTAGTCAACACAGGGTAACATAACAGTCATACTACTTATCACAGGACAACTCAGGGTAACATAGTTACACTAGTTATCACAGGACAACACAGGATAACACAGTCAACACTAGTCATCACAGGATAGCAAAAGATGGCACAGTCACACTGCACATCACTTGGCACCATAGCCGCACAGGTCATCACGTGGCACCATAGCCACACAGGTCAACACGTGGCAACATAGCCACACAGGCCAGCACATGGTAACATAGCCACACAGGTCAGTACATGACAACATAGCCACACATGTCAGCACATGGCAACATAGCCACACAGGTCAGCACATGGCAACATAGCCACACAGGTCAGCACATGGCAACATAGCCACACAGGTCAGCACATGGCAACATAGCCACACAGGTCAACACATGGCAGCATAGCCACACAGGTCAACACATGGCAAAGTACTGTAGGTTGCTACAGCACAAGTCTTGGTCCATCGAATAGGTAAAAGCAAAGAATTACTTAGGATATAAATGTTTTTCAACGGCCGTTAATGTACTATTATTCTTTTGCTCTTTTCTGTGGTAGCAACTGATGATATGAAGTGCTATTTTCTGCTATCTATGAAATACAACTTGCTGTTTTCGATAAAGATTTATGTTGTAAATTGAAGAAAATTATATAATGTGTGTTTTGAGTTTACAAGTTAGTAAGGTTCATCATAAAGCCACAACAATGGTGTATATTCTTTTGTTGAGTCAATGATTGTCTTCAGGACTGAACTATATCAGTTCTTGATTAATCTCATTCCTGACCGAAACATAAATGTATGTTCTATATTATGTGCCTTGATGCTCGCGTGTTGGCTTGCTGCCTCGGTCATGTGTTGGCTCTTTATAGGGACCCAAGACGGAGTGCCGCGTACCTGGCCTCAAGGAGGGCAACACCTACCAGTTCCGTGTGACGGCCGTTAACAAGGCAGGACCGGGTGAGCCCTCAGATCCAACGAAGCCTCACCTCGCCAAGGCCAGATTCTGTAAGTTCCTTCACAACTCTTACACTCTCTTATTTTTATTTTTATTTTTAAAGACTAATCGCTATTTTAATATTATTCATGGAGTGCATGTTTCATGTGCTTAATAAATTACAGAATCATATAAAAATTATCCCGATTTTATGCATTAAATTTTTGTTTTAATATTCTTTTCCCATATGCTGACCCACTACAAGTCACTCTTCGACTGATCTAGTCCTCTCTTTTTTTCTGTGTTCGTAAGATTCCTTCATTCTCTCTTACTAATCACCTTTGCCCGCACTTCCTTACTGACTTTCGTCTCCTCCTCGACAGTGAAACCTCTCATCAACCGCGAGAAGTTGAAGAAAATCGTCACTCGTGCCTCACAGAAGGTGTTCCTCGAGGTGGACGTGAAGGGTGAACCTCCTCCAGAGATCTGGTGGACACTCAAAAACAAAAAAGTGAGCAGCACAACTAGTTTCGCACCTTGCATTTCTCACTATTGAATTTACATTGACAGAACTAGAGGTGCTGCCCTACCTTAGCTGTTAATGATACACGTTGTTTAACAAGCATTTATTGGGACAGCAATTCTCTCTGTGTAGTGCTTTATCAAGTCACTGATCTGCCGTTTTCAAGAACGCGTTTTATCCTTCTAACTTTGTTAGATATGCACAGTTAGATAGCGTATCTGTCTCAAGAATGCTAGTCGAATGAGCAACAAATCCTTGCATTGAATAATCCACATGGGTTTAGTGCATCATTAATAATCTACAAACTAAATTCTTCTCCCTTCACCGTTTATCTTCATATTCTGTTTTTTTTCTTTATAAGCAAATAAAGGAATAAATATTTTTATTAAAGCAGAACACAGCCAATTACAGTGTACTATGAACTGGTGTGTGTGTGTGTGTGTGTGTGTGTGTGTATGTGTGTGTGTGTGTTGTGTGTGTGTTTGTGTGTGTGTATGCGTGAGTATACTACTAATAAATAGTTTTTCGCTGGACTCAGTACACATTTAAAATATACTTCAGTTAGCAATAAATGTAAATAAAATATTAGTGGATGTTTTCACTGAAGGCATGAGGTAAATTAATTAACAATCATAACAATTACAATATCATACATCAATTATTTGTAAGATTTAAATGATTATCACGTTGTTAAACGCAAAGTCGTACGGTAATTTGTCTTGTAGCAAAGCTGAGAACGGTTGAGAGATCATGTCTCATTGACCATCAGGTCTACAAGAGAACATTAGAGGCTGATACAGGTTTATTGTGCTCTCAGGTGGAGACTGGAGGAAACTACATTGTCCAGGCTGAGGACTACCTCACCAAGTTCACTCTGAACGACGCCGAGCGTAGACACACCGGCATCTACAAGATCCACGCCAAGAATGACTCCGGTTCTGACGAGGCCGAGCTGGAGATTGTGGTTCTAGGCGAGTCCTCGTTTCTCTTTCGTATTTTTTCTTATCGATTCGTGAAAGGGTTCCACTTGATTCAAAATAATAATTCCTTTAAGATTTTTAAAATTAATAGATAAGGGATGTTATTTATCTCAAAGTTAGCTAGATCTCGCTTTCTTTCTCTCCTCGTGAATTAACCATTCGTTAAAATGAGTTTGTATACCTGCAGACCGCCCTGGCAAGCCTGAAGGGCCGCTGGAGATCTCGGACGTTCACAAGGAGGGCTGCAAGCTCAAGTGGGACAAACCCAAGGATGACGGTGGTGTCCCTATCGATGGTTACATCGTCGAGAAGATGGACGTCACCTCTGGTAAGTCCAGCTCAGCACTCACCATCGTGGGTGTCCTAGTTTTCGATACACTATTTTTTAACCGTTCATGGCGCGTCTCTCTGGGCTCTCAGCAGACGGAGGATCGAGCCACCACCACGTTTGGCCTGAATAACCTACGTGGGTTGAGCTCTTAACATGAATTATTACAAAACAAATATTAACCATACAATTTATTATAAGGAATTTGTTAAGTCGGTAAATATCGGAGTATTTTTCATTTTATATAATTATTTGATATCCTCGAAGGTCTACCCCATTTTAGGTATCCCTGATGGGGTACTTTTTTAGGTGTTCCAGAAGAGGTATAGTTAAGTGGTGGACAGATTTGTTTTCTTCCTCCAGTTTTTTTAGTTTATAATATGAGAACTCAAGGCGAGTGGTGCGTTGAGGTATCTGTGGAGACAAAAAACATTTTCCATGGAGGCAAAGAAGGGAATGTACGTGAGCATAGTGGTACCAACACTCTTATATGGGTATGAAGCATGAGTTGTAAATGCTGCAGCGACGAGGAGGCTGGAGGCAGTGGAGATGTCATGTCCAAGGGCAACAATGTATGGTGTAAATATTATGCAGAAAAATCTTTGTGTGGAAATTAGGAGGAGGTGTGGAGTTACTAAAAGAATTAGAGGGCTGGAGAGGGGTTGTTGAGGTGGTTGGTCATTTAGAAAGAATGGAACAAAGTAGAATGATTTGGAGAAGGTATAAATCTGTAGGGGAAGGAAAGAAGGCGGGGTAGGGGTCGTCCTGGATAAGGTTGAGAGGAAGGGGCGAGGAGCTTGGAATTCTAGAAAGCATGTATGAGCGTGTTTGATAGGAGTGAATGGAGACGAATGATTTTGGGACCTGACGAACTTTTAGAGTGTGAGCAGGGTAATATTTTGTGAAGGGATTCAGGGAAACCGGTTAGCCGGACTTGAGTCCTGGAAATGGGAAGTACAATGTTTGCACTTTAAAGGAGGGGTTTGGGATATTGGCAGTTTGGAGGGATATCTAAACTGTCGTATCTGAGCACCTCTGCAAAGACAGTGATTATGTATGAATAATGATGAAAATTTTTTCTTATTTTGGGGGTTTTTCTTTCTTTTTGGGTCACTACCTCGGCGGGAAACGGCCGACGTGTTAACAAAAAATGAAAACTCTCCATTCAATTGACTTGGTGCAACAACTGTCACGTACAGATGCTGTCTACCCAACTGTATAGAGACCATTCTCAGTTTTGTCTTCAGTGCAACACCTAGAGAAATCCTTTCCATATCGATTGCACGCGTGTAAAATAATTTGCAATTCACCTTTGCATTAATGTCCAAAATACCTTATTTTTTTAAAACGCTTTAAATTAGAATGTCATTGTATATACTCTTTACATGTTTGTCTTCAAGTGTGATAATGAGTGTGTTTGTCCGTACAGGTAAGTGGGTGCCATGTGGTCGTACTGACGGAGACTCCACCGATTTCGAGGTGACGGGTCTGGAGCCAGGCAAGAAGTACGAATTCCGTGTGAAGGCGCACAACGATGAAGGTGAATCTGACCCTCTGGACGGCGATAGGGCCATCATCGCCAAGGATCCCTTCGGTATGTCCAACACAACCTCCTGTCACGCTTTTCTTGCAATAAACTATTTTCACCATTGGAAACTACCCGGAATTGGATGTTTTGCAAAAATAAATAATTTTCTTGTCTAAATTTATGCAAATTCTGTTACCAAATACCGGGAAGCTAAGCATTAAAGAAATATATAATATTCAGTTGCTGCATTAAAATTATTAGATAGGAAATGCTGAGATAAAAACTCTTAGAATAGTGTGGTCGTAGGAGTAATTAATTGTTGTTTTGACTACCCGCAGACAAGCCTGGACCTCCAGGACTGCCTGAGATCGTCGACTTCGATGAGACCAGCGTCAAGTTGAAATGGGACCCGCCCATCAGGGACGGCGGCGCCGAGATCACTGGCTACGTCCTCGAGATGAAACCCAAGAATGCTGACGTAAGTGATTATGATTGTAGTAATAGTTGTGTCTTAATGTTTGTGACCGTGATAGTTGGTACGTGACCATGTGTGAGTAGTGAGTGATTGCTCGGGGTATTGATGGGTTGTTCAAGGTGGTGACTGTGGTGATGACTGCACTCTCTAGAAAGACGTAGAATTAGGGGGGATATGATTGAGGTGTATAAATGGAAGACAGGAATAAATAAAGGGGATGTAAATAGTGTGCTGAAAATATCTAGCCTAGACAGGACTCGCAGCAATGGTTTTAAGTTGGAAAAATTCAGATTCAGGAAGGATATAGGAAAGTACTGGTTTGGTAATAGAGTTGTGGATGAGTGGAACAAACTCCCAAATACCGTTATAGAGGCCAGAACGTTGTGTAGCTTTAAAAATAGGTTGGATAAATACATGAGTAGATGTGGGTGGGTGTGAGTTAGACCTGATAGCTTGTGCTACCAGGTCGGTTGCCGTGTTCCTCCCTTAAGTCAATGTGACCTGACTGACTAGGTTGGGTGCATTGGCTTAAGCCGGTAGGAGACTTTGGACCGCCTTGCATGGGCCAGTAGGCCTTCTGCAGTGTTCCTTCGTTCTTATGTTCTTATGTTCTTATATTGAAGCTGGTGACTGCTTGTAGTAGTGATGGAGTGCATGAGGTGGTGACCTTAATGATGTTGATTGCGACTGTTTGTGAAATTGATGGATTGTTCGAAGTGGTGACTGGGTGTTCGTTATAGTGATGCAGTGTTCATAATGGTGACTGCTTGTTGTGGTGACCGAGTGTTCTTGATGGTGACTGAATGTTCGTCGTGGCGACTGAATGTTTGTGGTAGTGACTAAATGTTCATAGTGGTGACTGAATGCTCGTGATGGTGACTGAATGTTCGTGGTGGTGACTCAGTGTTAGTTATGGTAACTGAATTTTCGTTATGGGGACTTGAATGAATGTTCGTGAATGCTACTAAGTGTTCATATGGGTTACTTTATGTTCGTGGTGATGACTGTTCGTGGGGGTGATGAAGTTTTCGTCGAGGTGATAAAATATTCGTGTTAGTAATGGAATGCTCGTCATGGTGACTGAGTATTGTTGATGGTGACTGGGTGCTGATGACTTAGTATTCTTGATAACGACTAATGGTGAATGGTCCGTGATAGTAACTAGTTCATGGTGGCGCCAGTGTACATAGACGTGACTAAACGCTCATTGTATTACCAAAGTGTCCGTGGTAACTACACCACCTTTGCCTAGCACCTAGACAATACCTTGGCTGAGCGCACTCCCTGCATTGCAGAACTTCGTAGAGGTGGGCAAGGTGAAGGGTAACGTCTGCCAGGGACCAATTAATGGCCTTAAGGAAGGTGAGAAGTACGAATTCCGAGTGAGGGCTGTCAACAAGGCTGGTGTGGGTGAGCCTTCAGACTCCACACTACCACACACCGCCCGAGCCAAGTTCCGTAAGTACTCTAACCCTGATTCCCCTGCTAGGCTCTTCCTACTCTCAATATACCTTCGCTTAAAGTCGCTCTAGTTAGCTAGAATTATGGAGCACTGTTGGATCATCAAGGATAATTGATGTTGTGTGGAACAAAATGCTAGTGCATCAATGTACTATTTTCACTAATTTTACTGTTATTATCACACACACACACACACACACACACACACACACACACACACACACACACACACACACACCACACACACACACACACACACACACACACACATATATATATATATATATATATATATTATATATATATATATATATATATATATATATATATATATATTTCAACAAGTCGGCCGTCTCCCACCGAGGCAGGGTGACCCAAAAAAGAAAGAAAATCACCAAAAAGAAAATGCTTTCATCATCATTCCACACTTTCACCACACTCACACATTATCACTGTTTTTGCAGAGGTGCTCAGAATACAACAGTTTAGAAGCATATACGTATAGATACACAACATATCCCTCCAAACTGCCAATATCCCAAACCCCTCCTTTAAAGTGCAGGCATTGTACTTCCCATTTCCAGGACTCAAGTCCGACTATATGAAAATAACCGGTTTCCCTGAATCCCTTCACTAAATATTACCCTGCTCAAACTCCAACAGATCGTCAGGCCCCAAGTACCATTTGTCTCCATTCACTCCTATCTAACACGCTCACGCACGCTTGCTGGAAGTCCAAGCCCCTCGCCCACAAAACCTCCTTTACCCCCTCTCTCCAACCCTTTCGAGGACGACCCATACCTCGCCTTCCTTCCCCTATAGATTTATATGCTTTCAATGTCATTCTACTTTGATCCATTCTCTCTAAATGACCAAACCACCTCAACAACCCCTCTTCTGCCCTCTGACTAATACTTTTATTAACTCCACACCTTTTCCTAATTTCCACACTCCAAATTTTCTGCATAATATTTACACCACACATTGCTCTTAGACAGGACATCTCCACTGCCTCCAACCGTCTCCTCGCTGCTGCATTTACCACCCAGCTTCACACCCATATAAGAGTGTTGGTACTACTATACTTTCATACATTCCCTTCTTTGCCTCTATAGATAACGTTTTTTGACTCCACATATACCTCAACGCACCACTCACCTTTTTTCCCTCATCAATTCTATGATTAACCTCATCCTTCATAAATCCATCCGCCGACACTTCAACTCCCAAGTATCTGAAAACATTCACTTCTTCCATACTCCTCCTCCCCAATTTGATATCCAATTTTTCTTTATCTAAATCATTTGATACCCTCATCACCTTACTCTTTTCTATGTTCACTTTCAACTTTCTACCTTTACGCACATTCCCAAACTCATCCACTAACCTTTGCAATTTTTCTTTAGAATCTCCCATAAGCACATTATCATCAGCAAAAAGTAACTGTGTCAATTCCCATTTTGAATTTAATTCCCCATAATTTAATCCCACCCCTCTCCCGAACACCTTAGCATTTACTTCTTTTACAACCCCATCTATAAATATATTAAACAACCATGGTGACATTACACATCCCTGTCTAAGACCTACTTTTACCGGGAAGTAGTCTCCCTCTCTTCTACACACCCTAACCTGAGCCTCACTATCCTCATAAAAACTCTTTATATATATATACCAGATAGGTAAAGCTTGCGATTTTGGCGAAAATTTGTGCATGCAATAATTTCACAAAAATCATTCTGAACCTAACGAAAAAATATATTTCATTGCGTTTGTTTATTATTAAATTATTGTAAACTTATCTAAAATATATTTAATTGGATTAGGTTAAATTAAATTGCGTTTGCTACAATAAGGTTAAGTAAGTTTTCTAAGGTTCTTTTGGTACAAAATTATTAATTTTTACATTAACATAAATGAAAAAAAAAATCTTTAAACGTATAAAAGAAATTTTTTAGAAAGGACTTAATTTTAAATGAGTTCTTGCTAATTGACCAATTTTACCTATTCGGAACGATATATATATATATATATATATATATATATATATATATATATATATAAATTATATATATATATATATATATACACACATATATATATATATATATATATATATATATATATATATATATATCCTAGGTAGTAGGTTGGTAGACAGCAACCGCCCAGGGAGGTACTACCGTCCTGCCAAGTGAGTGTAAAACGTAAGCCTGTAATTGTTTTACATGATGGTAGGATTGCTGGTGTCCTTTTTTCTGTCTCATGAACATGCAAGATTTCAGGTACGTCTTGCTACTTCTACTTACACTTAGGTCACACTACACATACATGTACAAGCACATATATGCACACCCCCCTGGGTTTTCTTCTATTTTCTTTCTAGTTCTTATTCTTGTTTATTTCCTCTTATCTCCATGGGGAAGTGGAACAGAATTCTTCCTCCGTAAGCCATGCGTGTTGTAAGAGGCGACTAAAATGCCGGGAGCAAGGGGCTAGTAACCTCTTCTCCTGTATATATTACTAAATGTAAAAGGAGAAACTTTCGTTTTTCCTTTTGGGCCACCCCGCCTCGGTGGGATACGGCTGGTGTGTTGAAAGAAAGAATATATATATATATTATATATATATATATATATTAATATATATATATATATATATATATATATATACACACATGTATATATATATATATATATATATATATATATATATATATATATTATAATAATAATAATCGGATACAATACCGAACGAACAGATAGTGCATAAGGCACATAGGTAGTACAGGAGAGACAGACAGTGTGGGCGACATAGGCAGTGCAGGAGACAGACAGGGGGGTGCAGGAGATACACAAGCAGTGAAACAGTCACACTGACCCATGTAGCAGACACAAAAGCTCTGTCCAGCAGACTCAGACACGCGCAACAAATGTAAAGCCGTGCAGGAGACATACACGTGCAGCAAACAAAAAGTGAAGACATGGAGAGAAGAGCAGCAGACACAGAGACGCCTTCAAAACATAGGCACATGCAGATGACATGTTTAGTGTAGTTACGTGCAGCAGATAGATACTTGCAGAAAATGCAAACATGTGCAGCAGACAGATAACCTCCCCCTCAAGAAGCCACACAGACACAGTGTAGCAGACACAAAGACACAGTGCAATAGACAGATACAGTGCAGTCGACACATATAGTGTAGTAGACAACGACACAATGTAGTAGACACACAGTGTAGCAGACACAAACACGTGCAACCGTGACAGTGCAGCAGATACACGGACACTGAACAGCAGACACATAGACACAAGATAATAATGATATACGTGCGTGTTTACAGGAAAGCCTCGCATCGACCGCACCAACGTGAAGGACGTTGTGCTGAAGGTGGGCCAGCAGTACCTGTACGACATCGATGTGATCGGTGAGCCCAAGCCAACCAACACCTGGACACTGAAGGACAAGGTAGGTCCTCCTGCTGGCCAACACCCCCCTCTAGCTGGGCATAACTGTAGGTGAAAATCGCCTGGGGAGGATGTAGGTGAGGTACAGGACCCTTGGGAAGAATGTAGGTGATGTATAGGGAACTTGTGGAAGATGTAGGTGAGATTGGGATCCTAGGAGGGTGTAGGTGAGGTACGAGGTCTTCGGGAGGATGTAGGTGATGTATAGGGCCCTAGGGAGGAATGTAGGTGAGGTAATGGGCCCTTGGGAGATTGTAGGTGAGGTATGGGGACCTTGGGAAGGATGAAAAATACGTGTGAGTGGCGTGTTCTCCTTGATGTAGTTTTGTGTGGAGTCTCTGATGTTCATTGATGTAGTTTTGTGTGGAGTCTCTGATGTTGATGTGTACGATGATGATCTGCAAAGATGGATATGAAGAGTACCGAATGAGTGAATCATGATGCGTAACTAGCTGTGGATCCAGTAGGTGTGGAGAGAGGGAGACACTTCGTAAATAATAAAAAAATCTATACTTTTATTCCCTAATGTACATTAAATTTTCAGAAGAACTTGAAGTTTGCATAATAGATCATACATGTATGAACTTTGCAACTTTTGTTTCTAATTCTTTTGTTTTTCACTTAAGTTTACATATGTTATGTTCACATTCAGTTTGTTTTATGATCTGTTCTAAGAAACACTTGATTAACTGTTTTAACGAGGGCAATAACGATCTATTTGACCAGGATATGTAGTAGATACTACCGAAGATGTTTACCAGCTTCATTAAGATAGGTCATGTGGTAGATGCTACAGGTAGATGCTTACCAGCTTCATTAAGATAGGTCATGTGGTAGCTGCTACAGGTAGATGCTTACCAGCTTCATTAAGATAGGTCATGTGGTAGATGCTACAGGTAGATGCTTACCAGCTTCATTAAGATAGGTCATGTGGTAGCTGCTACAGGTAGATGCTTACTAGCTTCATTAAGATAGGTCATGTGGTAGATGCTACAGGTAGATGCTTACTAGCTTCATTAAGATAGGTCATGTGGTAGATGCTACAGGTAGATGCTTACTAGCTTCATTAAGATAGGTCATGTGGTAGATGCAACCAAGAAAGATACTTTCTACTCTTCATTAACATGTCATGTGGTAGATGCAACCAAGAAAGATACTTTCTACTCTTCATTAACATGTCATGTGGTAGATGCAACCAAGAAAGATACTTTCTACTCTTCATTAACATGTCATGTGGTAGATGCAACCAAGAAAGATACTTTCTACTCTTCATTAACATGTCATGTGGTAGATGCAACCAAGAAAGATACTTTCTACTCTTCATTAACATGTCATGTGGTAGATGCAACCAAGAAAGATACTTTCTACTCTTCATTAACATGTCATGTGGTAGATGCAACCAAGAAAGATACTTTCTACTCTCATTAACATGTCATGTGGTAGATGCAACCAAGAAAGATACTTTCTACTCTTCATTAACATGTCATGTGGTAGATGCAACCAAGAAAGATACTTTCTACTCTTCATTAACATGTCATGTGGTAGATGCAACCAAGAAAGATACTTTCTACTCTTCATTAACATGTCATGTGGTAGATGCTTGAGAAGAAAATTCAGCTACTGTAAAGGATATCTTCATAAGTTTATTAAAATAAATATATGCGCCAGCTGATACACAAGACAACTTAGTAAGTGTATGAAGACAGAATGTGTAGTGAATATAGACCACCTAGAAAAGTTTTCTAAGAACTGATTATGTACTATTATCTACATAAAACAACTGGATAAGCTATATTTTTATAGAATATATACAGCAACTACAGAAGCAACTTTGAAGTTTAGATAGGATATGCAGTAATAACTAAGGTAGTAAATACTTTTACTGCTTCCACGGCTTAGTAAGCTTTGTTAAGAGAGAAAATTTAGTAGCTGAAAAAATAATAAGCTTTATTATTATTAAATGTGTAGTACGTACGGAAGTCAGCTTAGTCAGCTGTGTTATGCTGAGAAGCCAGGCTTTGAAGTAGTAGTTAGAGAAGACAGCTTAATAAGCTGTAATAAGACCGTATTTGAAAGAGTAAGAGTAATAAGCTGTATTAAAGAAAGTATGAAGTATGTAGCTACTAAAGACAGATGAGTAAGCTGAATTAAGACAGGATATAAAGTAGCAGGTACCGAAACCAGCTTAGTAAACTGAATTAAGACAGGATATGAAGTAGCAGGTACCGAAACCAGCTTAGTAAACTTTCATATACTTTTTTATAATTTTCTTCTCGTTTTCTTCAGTGTAAACAAAGTAACTCTGATCCGACAGGTGGTGGTAAACTATGTTTTTATTAAGCGATGTTTCACTCACTGGGAGCTTTCTCAAATCTGTGTAAAACATAGCAATAGTGATATACAAAGCATATAGAGTGAGGTGTGAACTCATGGTTGGTGGGTTCTAAAACTCATGGGTTAATGCGCACCGTGATTTTCAGGCCCCACTTGCCAGGGGTCTAAGTCCCACCTGTTCTTTGGTTTGTTTACATTCGTGTTGTTACGATTTCATGAATCATATAGGAGTGGTGAGGTGTTGCTCGTTCAGATCAGGTGCCGCAGCTAGAGATCAGGTGCCTCAGTGAGAGGTCAGGTGCCGCAGAGAGGTCAGGTGCTGAGGTCAGGTCAAGCCTTCTTGATGAGGACGTTCAGAAAACTTAAGAGATGCTTTTCTTTTGACGCAAAGTAAATTTAATTCAGGCTTATTTTGGTTGACTTAGTCTCTGAAATTAGTGAAATTTAAAACATCTATGAACTAACCTTACCGCGGGCGGGGGTTAGAACCCACGATCAGAGAGTCACAAAACTCAGGACCGTCGCGTTAGCCACGGTCTGGAGTTTAGCGACTCTCTGATCGCGGGTTCTAACCCCACCCGTGGTATGGTTTGTTTGCAATCGTGTCATTACGATTTCGTGAGTCATCCGAGAACGATGCTGTAAACGTCATCAACGGGGGAAAATACCTTTAACCGATCGCTTTGATCTCATCTCCTCCCGGCATCAACTGACCTCACCTGTAAAAGCGTCTTACCTGTCCTGGCAGCGCCTGACCTCTCCAGGTGTTACCTGACCTCTGGCAGCCACACTTGACCTCACCCGGCAACAATTCACCTCCTTATATGCTTTCTATACCAATGTTTTTATATACAGTATTCCTTGTAACTAAAGAAGCCCCAGTTACTTTTTTATTGGTTTAAATCCTTAATGTTTAGATATGTAAGACAACAGGTTTCAGCGTTTGCAGTTTATTACTGCTCATCTCTCATCTAATGAACTTGACCCAGCTGCTAACTAGGTTTGTGAACTTGACTCAGCTACTGACTAGGTTTGTGAACTTGACCAAGCCGTTGATTAGACTTAAGAGTCAGTCAAGATCCAACTTGTACAGTATGAGTTGAGACGATGTGGGTGGAGATGAGCACACACATCTCACAGAGTACTGGAGGATGGCGGAAAGATGCAGCATCAGTACACCCGCTTATGATGCAAAGTTTCGGTGGGCCAGCATGCCTGTCCTATAGTACAGATATCTCTGGTCCTCTAACTACACCGCCCGAATCTGATACATCCTACAACCATAAATGTGATTTGCAATACAAATTGAATTTAATCTTTATTGTACCTTGTCGTGCCACCTAGATAAAAACTCCGCACCTTATATATATATAATATATATATATATATATATATATATATGGAAAGTTCTTTGTATTTCATGTTTAATAAAAGTTCCAAATCACATCTCATGGTGAATTTGAAAGAAATGCAATTTTTATTCTATTTGAATTGTATTTTGTAAAACAGAATAAAAAGTCGCACTTTCGTAATGGAGGAGGAGCGGTGTGGAGGAGGCGGGGAAACGGAGTATATCTGGAGGACGAACCTTACAGTGCGTCCACTTCACTCCTCTTCCTCAGTAGACTCTTCTAATATCTCAGTCAACTCCTACTATTAATCACGAGAGAATAAGCATGTTGGTTAAAGCACCGGCATGGAACGATAGCACGATCATAGAAGTCAGCATGTTTAGGTTACGTCTTGGTATAACCCAGACAACGACTAG